GTGCAGCCAGAGTACTCCTTGGAGGCCAAGATGGCTAAGCTTCATCTCTCATACTTTGGACATATTGTCCAGAGGGAACAGTCGCTGGAGAAGAATGTCATGCTGGGTAAGGTGGAGGGTCATAGAAAAAGAGGAAGACCCCTAGCGAGATGGATTGGCCAGGTGGCATCATTGATGGACTCAAGTGTGGCATCGGTAGTGAGGTTGGCCCAGGATCGGACATTGTTTCTTTCTCCTGTCCATGGGGTTGCTATGAGTGGGTTCCGACTCGATGGCACCTGACAACAACAAATCATGTATATCTTAAGAGGAACTTTTAAAAAAAATAAATCAGTGTTTGATTTGAATACAACTGTAAACACTAATACCCAATGAAAACAATACAGAGAAACAAAATTAGTACTATGGTGATTTTTTTTCCCCCTTAATTTTTGAAGAATTTATTTGAACTCTCATGAGTAAGCATGATGCTGGAACTGTTAAGTGATGAGCAATAATTATGGAAAACAATTCAATCTACTGATATATTCTAACACATGAACTCGTCCAGCCGCTGAGGTGTTGGGAGGCAGATGTACAATCTTGATGATTCTGGTGGGAGCAGCTGGTACTCCCAATCCCGGATTAAGGCAAGGAGACACGTGCTCGTCTTGGTGTGCAGAGCGTGAGCACTTGGTTTCTGTGTACTTGGGCGCACATGGTCGGGGAGACCAGGGCTTTCATCTGCCCTCAGCTGCGTGTTTCAGACAGGCATGTTCTGTTTGCTCTGGTGTCCATTTATTATCCTGTGCTCAGGTTGACTTCCATTGCCCCTTGGCGAGCTGGGCCAGTCCTCACTGGGGTACCAGCTGAGCATCTTCCTGTGGGGACTGTATCTGGGAGCGTTTCTAGGTGTGCTCTGCTTGGTTATCAATCCCGTGGATGCGGATGTGGCACATGAGGCCAATCATTTGGTGGTTATTTTGTTGTGTGTTTTTTAGGGCAAATGGGATTTGGAACTCTTGATTTGTAAAGTTCTAGGTATGAACTTTTTGGTGTGCATGTGTCCCCAAAATGGTTTCTACTCCGGAAGGTTGGTTGTTTCTTGACTGCATTCAAACCCAATGCATTTGAAGACTGCTCAATACAGAAAAAAACTACCCAAAACTAAAAAAAATCCCCAAAAAACCCAACAACAAAAACCATAGTGAAAAGTGTCCTTGGTTCTTGTGACTTTCATGGCTGGTGGGCTAGTTGAGTCCGGAGAGGGAGGGAAGGGATGGGCGGGCAGACTGTGGCCTCGCCCCCTCAGCTGACCCCGCCTCCACAGGATCACACAGCAGTTACTCTCACAGGTCTTTTCATGGTTCCTTTGACCTTGAGAGTTTGGCTCAGGCAAAGTCTCTGTAGCCACCAAATGCATCATGGTTCTTTTGCCAAAAGGCAGCTTTAATGCACCTAGTGTGACATTTCGGTGTAGAAACCGTCCTTGATAAATAAGCCAGAGGCTATTTGGACTGTTGATTTGTTCCTCTTCCCAGTCCATGAGCCAGTTGCCATACACATGCTTTGCGATGTTGGAAGCGGAATCGTTAAGGAAAAACAGGAATTCTTTTGTCTTCCCGCTTACCAAGATAAGGCGCAAATTTATCACGTCCACCGGGACACTGCTGGACATCTTGCCGTATGAGGAATACCCAGAGGGTCACGGTGAAAAACACAGTCAAAACCGAGCCCCAGGCTGCAATTCAAAGGATGGAGGCAGATACTGTTGGCTCTAGGCAGCAGGCTCCAGAGACGGGCTTGCAGCAGCATCCAGAGCAGCAGCATCAGGACCAGGCACGCCATGTGTACCCCACTTAGTGACACCTGGGCCGCTTACATCCCCCTTCCTCCTTCACCGGACCCTGCGATGAATCACAGTGGCTCCCGAATCAAGTCCTCATGAAGCAAGAGGAAAATGCCCGGCATCTCCATACACAGATAACTATGTCGCTACATTTCAACGCTGGCGGTGGCCCAGGGCGCAGGGCAACGGCTCAGCTCAGTGCGACCAGGCCTGAGAGCCTAACAGCAGGGGCCAAGGACTTCATTCTTGACCAACCAACCATTAACACTCATGGAAGCAGCAGTCAAGAAATCAAAGGAGTACTGCATTAGGCAAATCTACTGCACAAGACCTTTTCTAAAGTGTTGAAGGTCAAAGATATCAGCTTGAAGACTAAGGGTGCCTGACCCAAGCCATGGTATTTTCAATAACCTCATATGCTTGCGAAAGCTGGACAGTGAATGACGAAGACCGTAGAAGAATGGATGCTTTTGAGTTATGGTGTTGGAAGAGAAAAGTGTCATGGGTTTCCAAAACAACCAACACATCTGTGTTGGAAGAAGGGCAGCCAGGTTGGCCAAACTTCGTCTCTCATACTTCGGACTTAGAGTCAGGAGGGACCATTCGCTGGAGAAGGATATCATGTTTGGTAAGGTGGAGGGTCAAAGAAAAAGAGAAAGACCCCCTGAGAGATGGATCGGCATAAAGCGTGGCAACAATTGTGAGACTGGCCCAGGATTGGGCAGTTGGACAGTGTTTCGTTCTGTTATGCATAGGGTCGCGATGAGTTGGTACTGAGTGGATGAAATCTAGCAACAAT